AATATGGCAATTCTCTCTATGTGCTAATAAGGAAATATCTACAAGCCTATTGTTAAGTGAAAAAAGCAAGATGTAGAACAGTTGTGTGAAGAAAAAAACATATATAATAAGGATTTGTCAGACTCCTCTGGAAGGAGACCCAAGAAAGCAGTAAGGCTTCTGGGGCAGTGACCTGGTGGTGGCAGAGACAGATGAGGGAGAGAAAATGACTTTTCACTTTATGCCCTTTGTACCTTTTGGATCTGGTACCACTTATGTGTGTTACCTCTCCTAAAAGAGCATAATCATATTTGTAAAGATAACAAGGACCCATAGGTTCCCATTGTCCTTCCTGTTGCCTGTTCTTTCAACAGATACTTCAGCACCTTCAATGGCCAAGCCTGTGCACGGGGGGGGATATAATGGTGCAGATTCGTGGAGGAAGCGAAGGGATTCAACGAGTCAACAAGTAAACAGTTAATTGACAAACAGCAATACATGCTTGAAAGGTGAAAGACAGGCTGTGACGACAGAGAGGAGCAGGTCGAGGACTTCCCTCGTCGGGGTGGTCAGGGAGGGCTTCTCGGAGGAGATGACATCTGAGCAGAGACCAGAAGTCAGTGAAGTTGCTGGCTGTGGGAGGGGCTGGGCGAGGAGCACGTCCAGGCAGAGGAAACAGCAAGTGCCAAGGCCTGCGGTGGGACTGAGCTTGGTGTGTTTAAGCAACAGCAGGGAGGGCAGCGTGGCTGGAGTGGAGAGAGTGAAGAGAAGATGAGGTCAGAGAGAGGATGGGGGCAGCTCTGTGGCAGGCGTGGGGGTGGGAAATCAAGTGTTCCATTGCAGATACGGTAGGTGCTGGAGATCCGGAGAGGCGATGTCAGGGGGCGACTAGAGGTACAAGGCAGAGGTCAGGAAGGGGTCAGGGCTGAGATACAAATCTGGGAAGCATCACTGTGTTGGCAGCCAAGGGACTGGGTATGGTAATACAGACAACAGTAACAGTAGCGATTGTGGAGCACTTCCTGTGGCTAGGCACTATGCCGTGCGC